TGGATCGTCTGCAGTGAATGGGTGCCGTCAGAATGAGAGTCCAAACAGCTGATAAAAACATCACAATAATCCACAAGTAATCCACACCACTCCAGTCCATCAATTAACATCTTGTGAAGTGAAACGCTGTGTGTTCATAAGAATCAAATCCATCATTAAGACTTCAAACCATTGTTCCTGGCTAAAAAATGAGTCTTCTATCCAAAATATTGCATTGTCCAGTTCAAAAGTCATATAGTCTGAATCAGGAGAGAAATATCAAGCACCAGATCAAGCACCCTTTACAAGTGAAAACAGACCAAAAATTTTCTAAAATATATGCTGGTAGATTTTGATCTGAGAAGACAATAGGGGATGGACTTTTCACTGGAGGAAGCGTTATTATGGATTATGGACTCGTAGTTTGGCCAGAAGCAACCGTTTAAAGTTAAAATGCCCTAATGATGGATTTGTTTCTTACAAACATGCAGCTTTTTGCTTCACAATTGATGGACTGAAATTGTGTGGATTACTTATGGATTATCGTGATGTTTTTATCAGCTGTTTGGACTCTCATTCTGACGGCACCCATTTACTGCCGAGGATCCACTGGTTTTCCAGATTTTCTTTTTTGGATGAACTATTCCTTAGCATGTTTTGAATAGACAACTACTGAAATGTTTTTCATATATATATATATATACATTTTTTGTATATATATATATATATTATATATATATTTCTTTCTTTAAAAGAAAATCTTACTGACCCCAAACTTTTGAATGGTACAACAAACTCTTTTACTTCAAAAGAGCCAGGAAATCCGTTTTCCATGTTATGACCCCTTTAAGTTGAGAAACAAAATCGTATTCAACAAAATGGTGTGTGTATGTGTGTGTGTGTGTGTTTCCAGGCTGTTTATAATGGGCACTAAAAGGAAAAAAAGGACTGGTGGGCACACAGAGCTTCTAAATGCTTCAAAAAAGAAACCATTCATTGTCTAGAGCCTTCAAAACGGCTCTCTCTCCCTTCCTCTCTCTCCCTAATCTCCTTCATC